TAACTCTTGCATTTACTTTTTATGTTAGCCATATATTTGGCGTTGGTGTGAGAGGCCTGGGCCATGCTGGACTGCCACAGCGAAGGGCAGCCATAGAAATGTGTCGTGACATGGCCAAGCAGGACAGTGGAGCGGAGAAGGGAAGAGCTGAGACCAGCAGCTGGAGCCTCCTCCTGGTTCCCAGCTGGGGCTGAGGTCTGGGGCTCCAGGTCCCTCAGGCCTCAGATGCAGAGGTTAAGGGGGCTGTGCTCACCTGGGTCCATTGGGGTTGCTCGCTGTTTGTCATTCTGGGACATGAGCAGCCCCAACCACACCCTCCTTGGCCTCAGGCTGAGAGGGCTTAAACAGGTCCTCACAGCCTACATCAGGGGTGGCCAAACTTGCTTTAACGTAAGAGCCACACAGAAAAAAGTTAGATGCTTGAGAGCCACAAGACATGAACACACACATTTTTATTGAAAAATATGCACATTTGCATATTAAATTAAAGAGACAAATGCCTTCTCTGAGCCAGGCCAGTCTGCTGGTGTAGCAGGGCTTGGAGAACATATTTAACTTTAGATGGGGAAGGAGAGGAGAAAGACAGAAAGAAAGGTGGAAGGGGGGCTTCCGGTTTATGGCGACACGCTGGCAGATGCATCTCCCGGACCTCCCGGGGATGTGATCTGCACACCAATGAAAAGGCCCAAAGCCTTGGCAAAAGGCTCCTAGCCATGGGGCTTTTGAGGGGTGGCCTCTTCGCCAGCGCGATGCTGGGAAATTGAGGCGCTCCTCCATCCTGCCGGTCCTGCAGCCGAGTGTCCGTATGGATCTAGAGCCGCTGACCGGGACAAGCATCGGAGATCGAGCGTTTTAAACATATGCCGAGTGAGGTCGTATGACCAACAATGAACCTCGGGGTAAAGTGAAACGAGAATTTAAAAAGAAAGCTACCCCCTGGGAACGGTGAAAAAAGCAAGCGGGAGAGGGGCCCCTCCCATACGCATGAACTAAACAACAAAATACTTTGGGGGGAGCAGAAGAAAAAGCATTGAAATCCTTTTTGAGAGACTTACCAGATAAGCGTATGGGCGTATTTCAGAGACTTTAGCAAGTTTTCATAAAAGTAAACAATCCATAAAGATGGCGGGGAAGAGGGCAGAGAAAGACAAACCTGTAAAAGTGAAACCAGCCAGCTTGAACCCTCGACCGGAAGAGACCACCGAGCTCTCCAAAATGTTGGCAGAGTCCTTGCGCCCTCTGCTGGAACAGATGACTAACATCGAACAACAGCTGACGAATCTAAATCAGAATCTAACAACTCAGCAGCTCCAACTGACTGAGACTTTAAAAATAACGGAGCAAATGGCTGAGAAGGTGAAGAAAATGGACGCCAACGCCAAAAAGACTTTTGCCAAGGCTCTGGGGGGTAGCAACCCATCGTCCCCCCTTCTTTCTGCTGGTGCGCAGATCACATCCCCGGGAGGTCCGGGAGATGCATCCGCCAGCGTGTCACCATAAACCGGAAGGTGAGAATCTAAAGCAACTCCTGAATGAAGCATTAGCCCCAGTTACAGATTTGAAAGCGGAGTATCTTGCAAGCGAAATGGATGTGGTCTATAGGTCCTATTCCATGTATATCAAAAAGAATAATCTGCCTGGGGAAATAGTGGCTAGATTCTCAAAGCGACACGTGAGGGATTGTATCCTGAAAGCAACTACAGGAACACCCTTGAAAATCGGGGACAACACTACCAGGATTCTAAAAGACATTCCATTTGAAATAAGGCAAAAGAGAAATATAAAAATTTAATCCTTTTTCTTCAAACAAACATCATTGTCTACAGATGGTTAATTCCAGAAGGAGTCATTTTCAAACTAGAAGATAAAAAAGAAAAGATTGACTCTGTTTCCAAAGCACGTGAGTTCCTGAGAGTGCAGCTGGGAGAGCCAGCCAAGGTCGAGAAGGAAGATGATGACAGCAAATCCAGTGGCAAATTGGACTCGGGGTTTTCCGACGAGGACTCTCTTTCTGATAAGGGGGCTACTGCCCCCAAGCATACATATAAATTGAGGATTAGAAAAGATAAGACAAAATGAAGGCTGAAGGACTCTGAAGTGTGCCTTTAAACTTTAGTTTTATTGTGGGATGCTCTGGGGGCTCTCTTGAATGGTTAAAACTTTGGATAAAAAGATAAAAAACTTAGCATAGCCAACTATGTTCAAAGTAATATTAGCAATTTAAGATTAACATTTATACAAGCTGTTGTGATGATCTCCTATTCTTGGGGTTTTAGTTAGTTGTGGTTTTCTTTCCTTTCTCCCTAGGTGTAGTTACCCCTTCCCAAGTTTTCGTTGTAGTTTGTAGTATATTTAAAAATGCAATAAAAAATCCCCTCCAGGGGGCCAAAAAAAGAAAGAAAGAAAGAAAGCAAATAGATGAGGGAGAGAGGGAGGGAGAGGTAGAAAGAAAGCAACTTTAAATTTAAATGTGTCCTTCAAGCCCCCCATGCCAGCTGGCTTGGCTTGGAGATGGGATTTAAAGAGACAAATGCCTCCTCCAGGCTGGGCGGCTTGGGGGGGGGGAGCTTTGAGAATGCGTTTAAAGTTAAAGTTGCTTTCTTTCTCTGCTTCCCCCCACCTCAAGCCTACCCAGGGAGGGAAACACTGGCTGGGGAAGGGAAGACCGATCAGGGAGGCTTCGCTTCCCCAGCCGCCTTGCTGGGAGCCACATAATATGTGTGAAAGAGCCACATGTTGTTCCTGAGTCACAGTTTGGCCACCCTGGGCATACATGCTCTACTTCCTTTTGCTTGGGCCAATTGACTCTTGGAGGAGTCTTCCACCTCCCTCCTTGCTGGGTTGGACCCTTGTTGTGTCCTGCCTACACTTTCTGGCCAGCCAGCTGGGCTGCAGGGGTGTGATCAGCACAGCCCTGCCTTCTGGCCAAACCCTGCAGGCCAGCTGAGCCACAGGCTGTGGTCCTGCTGTTATGGGATGGCCTGTT